AAACTAATTATAGATTTTTGTGGTCTAAAATGGCTTTATAAAGATTAATTGAATAAATACTCACATATTTTAAGATATATTCAAAACCATGGGAAGACATGTACTATATAAATTAAATAAATACTCACATACTTTAAGATAGATTCAAAACCATGGGAAGACATATTACATATACTATATAAAAATTTTGCAATTATCCCTATAAATTTTGGGTTGTGATTTTTTTCATTAAATAGGATTTAGTAATATAAGAATCTTAGTAAAACAAAATATAATAATAAGTTTGTGGCTAGTGAATATAATTTACTTAATCTGTATAAATTTTTTTGTCAACATTCAAAAGGTGCATGTATATAATTTTTGACGTTTGTGTACGCAATACATATATTTTACTCTTTTCTCTTCATAGAAAAAAAAGCTTTGTTAGGGTGGATAAGTTTTCTTTAAGAAATATCAAAGTATCAGAAAAAGGAATGACTTAGAGAAGTTTATTATAGATTCGTAATGTTATTTATATTAAAACAAATTACATGGAAAAAAAAAGAGTTTGTATCTAACTCTAAGTTTTCCTCCGGCCGTCGGATCGATGACGAGTGTGCACTTATTTTGTGTCATCGGGACAAGCAAGTTAGCCAAGTTTGATTATAAATCAAAACATTCGATCAATTTTTAAATTCTTGCAACTTGGAGATTTTCAAGATAATAAGTACAAGTAGGTCCATAATCGAGAGATAATAATAATATATGCAAATAATTTTGTGGAAACACAATCACGTGAGCCTAACGAATCCTCGTGGGGCCATATTGCCCCATACCGGTTTTTAAAGCGATAAGATTAATCTCATCGACCAATCGTTATGCAGCTACGGGCCGAACATAGCGTCGAGGTCGGTCCAAACATTACATTTTATAATTTATAAAGAACATGTGAATCGTTGACAAAATGTTACAAAGAAGAAAAGGTTAATTAAACGTAAGGCAAAAGACTCAAAGAGCCAAAGAATGAAAATATTCTGTGTGTGACACATTATATAATAAGAATCAATATATGAAAAAAATGGTCGTCTGACAAAGAGAGTCACTTAACCTAAGCGACTCATTTTCATCTTGGCTTTTGCTGATGATGCCGTGAACCGCTATCGCTGCTTTCACTAGCCGCGGCCGCTGCAGTTGTCTCTTGTTTCTCACGGCTGCCATGGTCCCTCGTCGTTCGGCGTTCCTGCAAAAATATCATCACAGCTTTAGACATTTTTCGAAACTCGTAAAGAAATGTGAAAAATGTTGAGAATAAATGTTTTGTTGTATACATCACGATAGAGCAAGTCTTCAGCTTCAAGCATATGTATGATATGTCCCATTTTAGGTCTCTTGTTCGCATCAGGATCCACACAACGCAAAGCTACAAGCAACACTCTTTTAAGAGCCTTTGAGGATGGTGGTTCGGGTATTTTCGGATCAACTACTTCTTCTGATCTTCGGTTTCCTACCATTGATTTCAGCCAATCCACTAGATTCGTCTAAAAACCAAAACAAGCAATCAAAAACCATTTACAAAAAAAGTAGAGGGAGAATTGAAACAAGGCGGGTTTAACCTTCTAAATACCTCTCCTTGAGGCCGACTATAATCAACCGGGTTTCTTCCTGTGATTAACTCCATGATTAAGATTCCAAAGCTATAGATATCACTCTTCTCGTTTAACATTCCAGTGCAAGCATATTCCGGTGCTACATAGCTAAACAAATAAACCCGCGAAGCAAAAGTTATTCCAAAGATTCAGATAACTAGAGATTGTCTAGAAAGTTGCAGGAAAGAGTGAATGAGTTCAAGACTTTACCCGAAAGTTCCCATCACACGGGTTGTCACATAACTGCTCTCGGAACCCAAGAGCTTAGCAAGTCCAAAATCCGAAACCTTAGCATTCCATTGGCGATCAAGCAAGATATTGCTCGATTTTATATCCCGATGAACAACTTTTGGTTCAAGACCCTCGTGTAGATACGCCAATCTGCATATATAACAAAATTTACTTATATAATCAGCCTATAAACATAGCGGATAGCAAGATGGAACTAATAACTCAATTCAAGATCTATTCCAAACTTACCCTTTTGCCATCCCGAGTATAATATTCATACGGATATCCCAAGTTAGAGGGCTGACATCTCCAACATCACCGTGAATCCATTGCTCCAAGTTTCCATTATCGACAAAGTCGTACACGAGCATCCTGTAGTAAGGATACCAATATTAGCTCACAACATTGTTTCTTATTAAATACCAAAACAAGAAACACGAGCAGCAGCGTATTTACCTGTATGCACCTTCGACGCAATACCCTAAAAGCCTAACGAGATTCTTGTGTCGTACACGCCCGATCACTTCCACTTCTACTTTGAATTCTTTCTCCGCTTGACCCCTGTACATTAAAGACACACACCAACTACAAACATTACAGATCATAGAGGTCAAAATCCAGAAGTATAGTCTATTATTAGTAAAGACGTATTCCATCAAAAGCACATGTGACCTCTACACATAGAATTCAATAATAAAAACAACATTCAGGACCACACTCATACACATAGAGCAGTTAAAATAAGAGAAGGACCAAACAATTGGAGATTGATTTCACTCTTAAGCCTTACCTTCGTCTGCTCTACCTAAATTTCCAGAATCATACACTTCAATGGATCTAATTCTAACCACATAAACGGAAAGAAGAAATGCAGAATTAAACACAAACCTCAATACAGAGCAAAACTACAAATAAAGTTCCTTAATTGGTAACTAATACTTAAAACCCTGATCTAGAAACCAGTAAAGGACCAAACTTTAGAATGAAACCAATACAGAGCAAAGCAACAAATCCAATCAAATCAACAAATTGCAAAAACCCTAATTCAGAAACGAGCTAAAGGACCAATCTTTACCTGTTATTAAGCAAGTTCTTAACGGCGACTTTGGTTCCATCAGTTAAAACTCCACGATACACAATCCCGTAACCACCTTCTCCGATTACATTCTCTTCACAAAGTCCATTAGTCGCCGCTTCAAGCTCTCTAAGAGTATACCACCGTCCCCAACCAAGATGCGAAACCTCCGGTCCAACAACATTTCCGCTGCCTGAATACGACGCCGTTTCACTAGCACTAACTGTTCCTCTACTTTCACCACTCGATACTCGATCTGAAAACACCACTCGATGCTCGATCTTACCTATATCGACTTGGATCTCTGCAGGAACAGGCTGCGACTGATAGTGATGGTCGGGAACGATCTCTTTGATCTCTTTGGAAATCGGCGGTGTTGCGACGGCGGCGGAAGCGAAATCGGCTCGCGGTTTGCGATTTTTCCGAC